TTCAGTTTTCCCCCTCCCGCGCGAAGCGCGGAAGCTTTTACGATTCATTAAATCATTAGAGAAAGAAGACTATTCGTTGTACCGTTCTCGAAAATAATCCTCGTCTGAATTCATTTTCACCGCCCCCCCCCCCGGCCCTTCCTGCGCGAAGCGCGAAAGCAGAAAGAAGACGATTCGTTGTGCAGTTCTCGACTCTTAATCCTCGTCTGAATACGGGTTACCCCCTCCCGCGTGAAGCGCGGAAGCTTTTACGTTTCATTAAATCATTAGAGAAACAAGACGATTCGTTGTACATTTCTCGACTCTTAATCCTCGTTTGAATTCAGTTTCCCCCCTCCCGCGCGAAGCGCGGAAGCTTTTACGATTTATTAAATCATTAGAAAAAGAAGACTATTCGTTGTACCGTTCTCGAAAATAATCCTCGTCTGAATTCATTTTCACCGCCCCCCCCCCCGGCCCTTCCTGCGCGAAGCGCGGAAGCTTTTACGATTCATTAAATCATTAGAGAAAGAAGACGATTCGTTGTACAGTTCTCGACTCTTAATCCTCGTCTGAATACGGGACTCCCTCCCGCGCGAAGCGCGGAAGCTTTTACGTTTCATTAAATAATTAGAGAAACAAGACGATTCATTGTACATTTCTCGACTCTTAACCCTCGTCTGAATTCAGTTTTCCCCCTCCCGCGCAAAGCGCGGAAGCTTTTACGATTCATTTCTCGACTCTTAATCCTCGTCTGAATTCAGTCCCCCCCCCCCCCCCGGCCGCGCGGAAGCTTTTACGATTCGTTAAATCATTAGTGAAAGAAGACGATACGTTGTACCGTTCTCGACTCTTAATTCTTGCCTAAATGTAGTCCCAACCCCCCAACCCCTCCTGCGCGATGCGCGGAAGCTTTGACGTTCCATTAAATTATTAGAGAAAGAAGACGATTCGTTGTACCGTTCTCGAAAATAATCCTCGTCTGAATTCAGTTACCCCCCCCCCTCCCGCGCATAGCGCGGAAGCTTTTACGATTCATTAAATCATTAGAGAAAGAAGACGATTCGTTGTACCGTTCTCGACTCTTAATTCTTGTCTACATTCAGTCCTACCCCCCCCCCTCCTGCGCGAAGCGCGGAAGCTTTTACATTTCTTTAAATCATTAGAGAAACAAGACGATTCGTTGTACCGTTCTCCATGCTTAATCCTCGTCTGAGTTCAGTTTCCCCCCTCCCGCGCGAAGCGCGGGGGCTTTTACGTTTCATTAAATTATTAGAGAAAGAAGACGATGCGTTGTATCGTTCTCTACACTAATCTTTGTCTGAATTGTATGTTCTTTGATGTTCTTTGTCTGCTCCTTTTTCTTTCTACGTCCTCTTCCTTTTCTCTCCTCTTTTTTTTAGGTGGGGGGGGGGGGGGGTGGGCGGTGATTGTTTGGGTACCGCCCCCACCGCCCCCCTGGCTACGCGCCTGCGGTCAGATTAACACATTTTGATACCTTGTCCGACCCCGGAATCTCAGACGTTTAAGGCAATAATTACGGTCAGACAAGCATTCAGGGGCCCGCCTTAGGGCCCCTGGTGGGGTCGAGGCGGTGGAGCCCCCGGAAGCTCGGGGTTTGTAGGCGTTTAATTACGGTCAGATGAGCATTTTTTATAATCCTTATATTGTCACACTGGCAGGACACTTAGGCGTGGGGTCAAGGGGACAAAGCCCCCCAAAATCAGGGGTTTTAGGCATTAAATTACCGTCAACTGAGCATCGAAGGGCCCGTCTTAGGGCCCAAGGTGGAATCCAGGGGGCAGAGCCCCGGAAGCTCAGGGGTTTTAGGCGTTTATTTACGGTCAGATGAGCATTTTGTTATAATCCTTATTATTTTGTGTCACTGGCAGGACACTATTTGGCGTGGGATCCAGGGGGCGGAGCCCCCCAAAATCAGGGGTTTTAGGCATTAAATAACCGTCAGACGAGCATCGAAGGGCCCACCTTAGGGCCCTAGGTGGAATAATATACTTTTTTTGTCAAAGTGTGGGGGGGGGGGGGGGGCTTGAGGCTCCCGATTCCCGCCGTTCCTCGGTCCCTGACATGTAGGAATCTCAAGAATCGTATTTCTTGCCTGGCTGTAAATTTAGGAATTTGTCATTTTCCAACAAACGCATACAAAAGTATAATTTACTAAAAAGTGAGGAAAAATCTCCGAAATTATGTAATTTCAGCATTATTTGTAATCCACAATTATGGAATTAGAAATAAAACACGTTTGAATTTGATTTCCCCCAAGCCCCCCCCCCTCCCCCCTCTATCAGTACGCCAGTGTCTCCTATTTTCCTTTTTTCTTTCCCTTTCCTTCCTTCTCTATTATTTTTTTGATTGGGGGGGTGGGGCAACAGCCTGGTAGGAAAGGCCCTTTCGCCCCCCCCCGATCTCCTTCTTCCCCCTTTTCTTTTCTTCTTCCTCTTCTTTCTTTCCCTTTCTCTCCTCTTTCCCTTTCCCTTCTTTTCCTTTCTTCTCTTTTTTTTTTTTTTTTTTTTTTTTTGCCGGGGGGGGGGGGCCAAGGCCCGCTCGCCCCCCCCCCCTGGATCCGCGCCTGGAGGAAATACATACATTAATATGAATCCCAACGAACGAAGCAACATATAGGCCTACTTCTTTCTTAAAATTATCGTTTATATAGACTGACCCGTCGACATTAACAGACATGCGTTTTGGCTTCATACTCATAAAGCTATTTTTTCTTAAAGAGAAGGTTGAGTTCTGGGAAGAGGTGAACAATAATTTGTGAGCGTTATTATTGTATTATGCAAGTGTGGAAGAACATCAGAGAATAAATGTTTACTGAAAAGCATGGCTCTTCAAATGCCTTAATAATTTACATATGGCATGTAACATCATGGAGATCGGAACGGATTTTTATGCCACATGTTCGTGTAGTCCCATATCACCCTTTCTATGTACAGTGCTTGTAACTTTACCAAGACTGGGCCAAATTTATTATCATTTTGATGATTCAAGAACCTTGCAGTACACACCAATACTTATATGCTAGATGATCAACCTTTCTGATCTATTCCACAACGTTTCTTTCACACTGCAATCGCATGACCAGAACTCAACTTTACCTTTAATGTTGATAATTATATTATTGACAACACACCATTGATTAAATATGAGATTCTCAGTTATTTGTACTAAATCAAGACAAGGTTTTTCCGGTAGAGAAGAGTGGTCAATTCCCCTTCAAACAATCATTACAATTTCTTGAGCAATTTAGAAGGTCGTTGAAATAAATCAGAAAAAGAGTAGGGCCTTATATGATGAACAGGAAGAAAAAACAGCTGAACTCATGCAAGACAGCAAGATGAACGTTAAGAGGTTATTTGGGTACATGTCCGGCGCATTTGTTCGTGCAAATGATACACATAAAACATAATGGCATCCAGATCCTTTGCTAGCTTTGATAAATTCACGACTCATCTACATATATACAATGCCATGAAGAAGAGTTCTGCGATTTTGCTACGTTCCAGCGGATAGACTCTCAATCTTTTCTTCAAACCAAGAACGAAGTTATCAAATCAATAGTAAACATCCTATCAAACAGATATATTTAAATAAATGCCAACAAATACAAATTAAGCGCCCTATGTTTGAGGCTAGGTGTAAATTGCCCATTGTAAACTAAAGCAAAAACACCATCTAAAGTTCAAGACGTTTGATACTGTTAGCAATACAATCAGGTTATCATCAGTGGTTATTACAGGTATTATAACTATTAATTATTAATGTTATCATTATTATTATCAATCATCATTATTACTGGGGCTACCAACATTATGATTTTTAATATTATTCACCGACTAAAGGTTTGTACAATAAACTCACATTAGATGATGTATCGTCTTCACATGTTTGCAAGACTCGACGAGTTCAACCAAGTCTTCTTCGTCTGTTCCCTTCACTATAGACAGACAGAGCCATTGTAGGTTCTTGGTTTGTTCTCTTATCAGAAGACCCAGTCCTGTCATCGTCTCACTTGATACACACTTCTTCTCTGGTGGGAGTGAGTCTGGTGCTGTTAGCTCGATGTGTGTTAGCTGCTGTCCTCCGGTCCGACGGAGACAATCCGTGATCTGAGGTATGTCTCTCTCTGCATCATCGATAGTGATATCGATACGTCTCAAGCCAGGAAGCGATGAGAGCAGACCTGCATAGCTTTGTGACGTCACGCTCTCGGCTGATAGCTTTGTGACGGATGGAAGCTCTGGAGGAGATGGAGAGTAACTGAGAGAGGAGTCTGAGATGGTGAGATGGTTCAGTGAGGTGAAGGATCTGAGGCAGGACCACAACTTCTCGGTCATCTCCTTAGATAGCTGGCAGTGCTGTATCTGAAACCTAGTATTCTGCAATGAAATGCAAACGGACGAACGTGTCACGTGTATATGCATCGATTAAGGTATTGAGACCAAAAATCGTGGAGATAATAGAATTCCATATCAGTAATGCTGACAATACAAAGCTTGATTGAATTATTTTATTTTAAAAAAATGCAACTGTGTTGCAATTTACTTTAATAGTTCCATTCAGAGGATATCCTTTTCTTCAATAATTCATAGCGAAATGCATGTACACGTATAACAAAAGTATACTCACCTGGACGGCGTACTTTTCGTTTAGAGAACCACCTTCACTCCTACATAGAATGTTTAAAAAAGAATGAGGTACAGAACGTGTTTCAAGAAAGTCTTGGGAAATTATATTATTAATAAAGAAAGCAAGTGAATTATACATCCCCTCTTTACAGAGGCAAATGAAACAACTATACTATTAGTAATGACAATAATCATGTTATAATAGTAGTAATGATAAGAAACAAATATAATCATGATAATGATATCAATAATAATAGGAATATCCAAAAAATAAAATGGTAATATATCATTTTGTGTTCATGTCGTCTTAACAAGGTACGGTACATGAACACAAAGATCTGTACATAAACTAAGATCTAGATCTACATCTACTTACTCCGAATTTAAGTACGTTAGTTGTTTAGTCTTGACAAACATGTCAACCAAGGTTTCTTCGTCTCTCCCCTTCATCCCGGACACATGCAGCCGCTGTCGGTTTTTGGTTTGGTCCTCAAATAGAAGACTAAGCCCTCCAATTGACTCTCCTGAATCAATCTTTCTGTCGGTGGTGAGTACTGGCCAGGCGTGTAGTTTGATATGAACAAAGAACTCTTCATCCCTAGGCCTGGTCTGACCCATGGGCCTGGAAGTGGAGGTGATCTGCAAAGTGTTGCTCGTCTTTGCAACATCGATTGAGACATCGATCTCTCTCACACCAGGTATCAATGAGAGCACTCCTTCGTAACCTTGTGACGTCATTCTCTCGGCTGATAGTTCTGTGACGAATGGAAGCTCTGGAGGAGATGGCGGGAAACTTAGAGAGGAGCCTGAGATGCTGAGCTGTTTCAGTGAGGTGAAGGATCTGAGACAAGACCACAACTTCTCGGTCATCTCAGTAGATAGCTGGCAGTGCTGTATCTGAAGCCTAGTATTCTGAAATGAAATGAAATCAGACGAACTTGTCACGTGTTTATGCATCGATTGTGATATTGAGACTAAACGCGTGGAAATATCATTATAGAATTCCATATCAGTGAAGCTGACAATACAAGGCTTGAATGAATTCTTTCATAAAAAAGCAATGCAACTATGTTGCAATTTCCTTTAATAGTTCCATTCAGAGGATATACCTTTATTCAATAATTCAAAGCGAAATGCATGTACACATATAACAAAAGTATACTCACATGGATGGCTTGCGTTTTCTTTAGAGAACCACCTCGACTCCTACATAAAATGTTGTAAAAGGAATGAGGGCCAGAAAGTGATTCAAGCAAGTCTTGGGAAATAATATTATGAATAAAGAAAACAAGTGAATTGTACATCCACTCTTTACATAGGTAAATGAAAATAGTATTAACTATAGCAGTAATGATAATTTTCTTGTTATAATAATGGTAATTATAATAAGAAATGTAATCATGATAATGCCGATATCAATAATAGTAAGAATATCCAAATAATAAAATGTTAATATATTAATCTGTGTTCATGTCGTCTTAAACAGCTACAATCATGACACAAAGATCTGTCCATAAACTAAGATCTACATCTACATCTACTTACTCCGAATTTAAGTACGTTAGTTGTTTAGTCTTGACAAACATGTCAACCAAGGCTTCTTCGTCTCTCCCCTTCATCCCGGACACATGCAGCCGCTGTTGTTTTTTGGTTTGGTCTTCAAATAGAAGACTTAGCCCTCCAATTGAATCTCCTGAATCAATCTTCCTGTCCGTGGTGAGTGCTGGCCATGCGTGTAGTTTGATATGAACGAATAACTGTTCATCCCTAGCCCTGGCCTGACCCATAGGCCTGGAGGCAGCGGTAATCTGAAAGGTGTTGCTCGTCTCTGCAGCATCGATAAATACATCAATATCTCTCACATCAGGTACCGATAAGAGCACACCTTCGTAGCAGAGTGAATTCACTCTCTCGCCGGATAACTTTGTAAATGATGGAAGCTCCGGAGGAGATGTAGGAAAACTGAGAGAGGAGTCTGAGATGGTGAGAGTATGTAGCATCGAAAATGATTTGAGGCAGGACCATAGTCCACTCGTCACGTCGGTTGTTAAAGTACACCCCTTGAACTTTACTGTCTTTACCTGGCGTTTAGAGAGAGAGAGTTGAAAAAGGAGAGAATTAAAGACATATTGAATAAAGAAGAAAATAACGTTAATTCGATGATCTCTTGCTTTTTGTAGTAAATATTAGGACAATCGAGACAGCGGTCTTATTTTGTCTTAAAATATTTAGTAACAAATGGAAAATCTTTTCCCCTACTTTGTTACATTCATCAGTGATTTTTAAACAACTTTATTTTCTCCGATGTCAGTAATTATAAATATATAATAAACGAAAGCAACAAACAAATATATTGATCTTTTGATTTTAAGTTATGGTCCCGGTTATGGCAAAGAAATTAACATTTTATACAGTCTTTCTGAAATAACTATTGTTATCGGCTGCTATCGACTCAAGCATTCTTGCTTATGATAGTTGGCCTCTGCATTTGTCTTGATTAGTTGTACATGTACTTAACTCCATACTTTCAAGCTTTCAATTATACATTTTTATGTGTGTATTTATGTAAATCAATTATATTATATACTATTATTGTTATTTGAATGTTTATTTATCAATAAATGCAGAAACATCTGCTAAAAAATAAAAAAAAATATGTACATACCTCACGTTTTAGTTGCTTTGGAAGATTTTGCATCCCAACGACGGTGTAGACAGTCGGTGCCCTTAGAACAATACATTGTGCATTCACACATCTTTGAACCAACGAAGACACATTTCCTTCGGTACCCTTGGTCTCTGATGAGCAGTCAAGGAGAATGCGATATCGCTCGCTCTCATCCACAAAGCTGTTTGCAAGGACCTTCTCCATTATTCGTATACATAGGTTGTTGTCCGTACCAGCAGCAAATCGGATGAGATTCTCATAGTCGCCGATGTTTGCTTTGATCTTGAGCAGTACTCTGTCTAACTTAGATAACTTCAAGCGCAGCAGAAAGTGGTTTGTTTGATCAGCGAGAAATGTCCCAGCCGAGTGTTCTTGTGCGAGTTTGTGATAAAACTCAATGGTAGTGGAAGTGGTCTCGTTGGACTGGGGAAGGCGTGTTAATGAAACAGTCGTCTTGGATACTATCCCAAGCTCACATGCTCTTTCAAGGATTGCGGGAAGTTTACGGAAATCATCAGGCGTGAAGACTAGTTTTTTAGCATTGTCGAGCAAACCATTAAGGGCCACTTTGCCTAATTGACAAATGGTTTTCCTCAACTTTTTGCGTGTGATTTTTACCGTTGACTTTGATCGGACGTTTGCATGGTGCATCAAAAAAACATTCACGCTGTCTAATAATTCTGTTTGAGTTGCAATTTCAGTGTTTAAAAGCCCTTCGCTCCATAAATGACAGACCATGAGACAAAATAGAGGTGTTTTAACAAGTTCATTAATGAGCGGTTGTTCATCAAGGTAAACCTTTAGACCATGACCATGTCTGCTATAATTATTCGAAGTCGAAGCAAAGAACTTGTCGATGTACTCACGTGAGCTATCTCGTGAGAATCCTTCTATCCACATCTTTGTGTATACCCTTGGAAGTTCATCTTGATTGAAGATGTTTTCTAGGTGAGGGCGTGTTGTTACAAGGACTCGGCACTCAGGAAATTCCTCCCAGCGGATGACACTGAAAATATTGCTCTCCGAGCTTCGTTCTAAAGAAGAGATACCGGCATACTCATCTAGGCCGTCTAGTATGATGTGACAGATGCTCTGATTCTGTCTAATGAAACTCTCCAGACCCTCTGGTGTGAGATCATCAACATCACTCAAAAGCTGGGTTTGTATAGCTTCTCCGATCGATGTAAGCCGATTTGTGTTTCGGAATTTCACAACAAACAGAAGTGGCAGGTCTTCTAAGGCTGACCCCTTTTTTCTGTGAACCCAATCGTGAGCCATCTTAGCGACAGCCGTGGTCTTCCCCCTCCCAGCGGGGGCCGAAATGAGGATTCGAGCTGGCAGTTCTCCGTTTACTTTCGTTGAAAATATTTCAGAACCCTTGAGTATTTCCTTCTTTTTCGTGTCTTGTCCGTTAGCGTCCTTCTTCACCATTGTAACAGCCGTGTGCATATCTTCAAGCTCAGCATAATTGCTTTGATCCCACGGTTTCAATTGAATTTTGCACAATTGTTTTCGGTACTTATTCTCCAACTTTTCGCGACATCGCTCAACAGTCAATGATGCCGAGATCTTCTTATTGTAGATACCTGGAATGATAACCAAGACGAAAATTCAATTAAATACCCATTGAATGTCCCCATTGAATCCAAATTGAATACCAATTGGCAATTTGGAGTACATGGAAAGTGAAACAATGGGTACCTAATGAAACTAATTGGCAATTGCATGGTCCCCATTGAAACCTACTGGCAATTGGTTTTAATAGGGACGAATTGCAAATTGGCGGCAATCGGGACCATTTGCCAATTGGTTCTAATATGTACCCATTGTTTCACTTTCCATGTAGGCTACTCCAAATTACCAATTGGTATTGAATTGGGATTCAGTGGGGGCATTCAATGGGGATTTAATTGATAAATCGATCCAGGTAGAAGACCCAGTGATAAACTGATACTTCATAATCGATATTGGCAACTGTCCACCAATTAGGTATATTCTAATCTCAATTGCATTAACTCCATCACATAGATCATTTGAAGTGAATTTAAGACTAACTTTTGAACATATATATTAGTCTCCTATACACACATATATAATAAACATACATTTTGTTTCTTGGTTAGTAATCATATTATAATCAATATATCTATTGCTAAAACGTGAATGTAATTGTAACATGATCGGCCAAGTAATATGTTGGTCAATAATTGCCGAAGGAAAATAGAAATTACAAAATTGATTGTACATTGTCATAATTTGCTTAACAAATCATGATAAATGTATTTTACTGTGACACGTGTAAAGTAATAATGAATATGCACGAGATACATAGATCTGTAGTTGGTTTCTATTGGTTTATATTGGTTTATATTGGTCCTATTGGTTTCCATTTGTCCTATTGGTTTCTATTGGTCCCATTGGGTTCTATTGGTCTAATCGGTTTCTATTGGTCCTATCGGTCATGTTGGTTTATATTGATCTTATTGGTTTCTATCTAGTTGAGCATTGGTCCTGTTGGATTTCTATTGGTTTCAATTGGCCCCATTAGACTTTAATGGGATTTCAATTGGTTTCAATTGGACCGATTGAAGTCCAACTTTAAGGACAAGTCCACTCGAAAAATAACTTTCTTTCAATAAAAGCAGAAAAATCAGACAAACCAATCAAAAAAAGTTTGAGCAAAATCGGATAACTAATAAGAGAGTTATGAATTTTTGAAAAAGTTTGTAAAACTATGAAACTATGAAACTATGATAAATACTATTCCCGAGTCTTAAGTTTAAATCTTAAATGGTTCTTGAGATATTGTGATAACGGTCAAACGGGACGGACGTACGGACGTACGGACGGACAACCCGAAAACATGATGCCTCCGGCACCACCTTCGGTGGCGGAGGCATAAAAAGCCAAACATGCAGAAAGAATCACTGGCGTAAAGCAGGACTTCGGGGGTGTATGAAGAGAATCGTTCAAAAAACCAAAGAAATCATAACAAATGGCAATCATCCTTTATTTTGTTTTCATGAATTTCTCAGATCAGGAAGAAGATTGAAGTCACTGAGATGTAGGACACAGCGATTTAAAAACACATTTGTTTCGTATTCAAGCAAGTAACAAAATATAACTTTTTTGTAATCCAATGTTTTTGCGTTTTTCTTTTATATTATGTTTCGTTAGGAATTTAGTAAAATTAATATTTAGTGAAAGTAATTATTACGATGTGGTACACATTAATCATTTACAAATATAATTCAGTATGCATATTTTCAATTTATCAGATTCATCCCGATGTACTAGAAATCAGCTTAATTTTTTAATAATGTCTGTTTAGTGGTAATAAATTTGAATTCATAAGTATGCATGGATTATATTTGTTAAACTACGTAACTTGCGGAAACGAAACAACCCATGACTAAACGAGAATCAACATTACGTATGATTATTATTTTTCCTCACCAAAATGTTTCCATGTAATTTATGTTCTTTGGAAACTTTGTCTGAGCCTTAATTGAACATATGAGCGAAACAAATATCCATGTTAACCGTGCTTTAGACAACAAATTATATTGAACATTAAACAAGGAACATAACATATTTACTAGCGAACTAGCCGGGATTTTGCAGTCATACGCATTCTCGGTCCAAACGGTAACACAATATCGGACTCACACTTCACTGTCAATATGACTAAAAATGAGAAAATGTAGTTTTTTCTAAAACTTTGATAGCGTCAATTAATTGTAAATGTTTGCTTTCGGTATTTTCAAATATATGAACCTGTTACGAAAATGTATAAACATTACCTGCAGTAGCCTGCAAGCATGGACAAAAACAGTTAAACTCTTTAACGGAATATTGGCGGAAACTCGGAAAAGTCATTTGAACTTTTACAATCGTATGCCCTATATGTCAAATCGATAATTTTGTCATTCGAAGTGGGCATTAAAATATCGTTAATATTTTTTTCTCTTCTAAATAACCTAGGGGCTATGCCTAAGATATCGTCTGGTTGGCATATTGTTGTATAAGTCACCCCCCCCCCCCCCTTCCAAGGAGAATAATCGCTGTTTTAAAGCATTCATACCTGAGCTACTTTGCGGTGGAGTCACCTCTTGTTCATTTGGCTCCTGCTGCTTTGGAAGATATTCACCTACAGGAAATGTTTACATAGTAATTTATGATGTTATTTATGCATCCATGGCTCGAGGGATTCGAACATCAAAACATATTTTTACATTTAGATACGAACAATATTTAAATTTCATGAATCAAACAATACAGCTAGAATGCTAGACTGATCAAATTTACCTTAAATTTAATAACGAAGTCATACAATATAGATATTGTTCATTCAATAGCACACAATCGACTGTTTACCTCGAGATAATTTTTTCCCAGTCCACCAAGCTCCACATCATGAAGCTTCGTCGCCAGGATTGATCGTGATTGGCTTTTGTCTTTTTGTTTATTTGTCCACATATTCAGGATTTCCTCCATAGCCACATTGTAGTTATTCAGATGACTCGCGAGAATTGATTGATTCTGATTAAAGGAATACCCCAGAGCGAGGCACAGTCTTGAGTAACTGGTATGAGGTATTTCAACGGAAAGATGATTCATCTCGACTCCCTGTAAACACGGTAAAGTCTCCATCGTTCTGTAAAGGCATACAATAAATACATAGCGCAGATTAACCTGGTGATTAAATGAAACCAAGGAGTTACTAGGCGATCAATTACGTGTTAAACAGATACTTATAAAGTAATTATAGTCATTTAAAAAGTTTGGTATAAAATGTTCAAGTGTTCTGAGACTAGTAAACATTTTAGATCGATGAACTGCCGTACTCAACGTTTGCTTTGTTCCTCTTATGCAATTAGTCCGATACGTAATATCAAGTTGTTTTCTGTTTTCCGTTCTTGTCAAATATTTACCTTTTTCCTTTATACAAGTCAAAGAACATAATGAATGTTGTTTTATTGGTTTATTGCGCATATATTTTTTTCTATTTTAAGAAATTATTTGTAAACTATTTTTTTCTTTTCAACTTTAAAGGAGGGCAAATGTGTCAAATACATATCCACTAGCAGATTAAAAAAAAGGTGTCCCCGCCCCTCTCACACGCACACACACACACACACAAACACACACACACAAACGAAGGGTGTGGGAGTTTGTGTGTGTCAATGTGTATGTGAGAGATCGATTAATATTTTTTTCTGGGCAGCCTACATGAGCACATCCACTGCCACCACGGCAATTTCCATTGATAATTCCGCTGCAATTGTAATTATATAGAATTATATATAAATATTGGGAGGGGGCTTGGGCGAAGAAGGTGGACGCATGGGGGTAAATGAAGACGGGGACGAACTGATTGTGTGCGTCAATGGAGGAGAGAGGTAGAGGGGTATGGGAATTAATTGTGAGTGAGTGGGTGAGAGAGAGATAGAAACGAGAGAGAGATAGAGAGAGTAAGAGAGAGAGAGAGAGAGGAGAAACGGTAGTGAGTTTGTTTAATTAGTAGATGTGAATAAAAGAAAGAACAATAAGAAAGAGAGAGAAAAAACTAATGAGCAAGTGGGAAAGCGAAAAAGAAATAAATTAGTGAGTTGGTGAAAGCAAGAGAGCTGTTAAGTAATAAAGAAATGGGTGAGTGAATGTGAATGAGAAAGAGGGGGAGAAAGGGAGCTAAGAGGGAGATTAAAATTATCAGGTGAGAGAGAGTAAGAAGGGGCGGGAGTCAGACAAACAGAAAGAGAATGACTGAATGGATGGCTGAAGGAGGGAGAGAGAGATTGGTATTGTGTATCAGTTATTCTGTAAGCCAAAAGCGATATAAATTGAAATATGTCATTCTCAAAAAGTTATGAAAACGAGTGTCAATAAAAGGGTATTATCACTACTACTACACTATACAAAGAATCAATTATGCGTGAACCATTTGAAGAAATATTCTTTTCAGATGGCATTACTGCTTTTCTATTCTTCCACAATGTGGCCAAGTAAAAATGATTCCTGGCTTCTCGTTCCTGCAACCATTTTGTTGGCGCCCGCCTCCTTTTTTTAAGGTTTATTGTTAATATATAATTTTAGTTTAAGATGAAAAGTTAATTCGGTGATATCTTAGATGTAGATCTAAAACAATTTAAAGGGAAAAGGCATAGAACTGATAATTTAGAAGAAGAAACAATCATATTTCATTTCATGTATCAAATTATCATGTTTAAGTGTATTTATCGGGAAACTGAAATAAAGCCTCAAAACATGCTTGAAACTTATCATGGTATCATGAGTGGCCAGTCCCATCTGTGTCAAATGGTGTAGTGTGAAGCAGATCTCTTGAAATCACTAACGGTTTTAAACTGAACCCTGATTATTATTATTGATATCATTATTATTTTGGGGGTTGAGTTTTGTATTGAGTGTCATTTTTTAAACCAGAAAATGATACAGATGGTCATAATTAGTCTTATAAAGCTGTATAATATCGCAAACTTTAGTGCAGCGCGTCGCCGACGACCCGGCAGTGTCTTCTGCCTTAGCTGTAGGGTGTGCGCAAGAGGGCGTTACAGACTGAACTTCAG